GCCATGCCCACTTGGAATGGTTAGGACTGACAGTGATGGCTTGAAATACACTCAGTAGCAAGATAGTACAGATAGAGAGTCCCCTGGTAACACTGTATGCATACAGAACTGCCTTACATCCCACATCATGGAAAAGGAGCTTGACCGCAAAGGATGCCATGACATCTGGTATCAGCCTGAACACAATGCTCAAAACATTGACAAGTGTCAGATGTGTGAAGATCATATCTATGGGCTTCTTCAGATGGGGCTGAATTAAGAAGGCGTACATGTATAGTATGAAGAGCAGCGAGTTTCCCATGAATCCAATGAAAACTTCTGACAGGAGAAAGAATCCAGAAATTAGGTTTCTTGGAAACATTATCTTGAGGAAGTCTTTGATGCTTTGACTGGATAACACAGGCCAACCAAATATAGATGCATGATGTTCTGATATTAAAATTAATGGACTAGGTAGAAGACTACAGTGATTGACAGATAAGCCCAAGGAGAAGGTAGTGAAATGTACACTCTGCAGCCAGGATCAGAGGTGAGCCTTCCAGGAAGATTCCATGATTTCTGAGAGCCTGAGAGTAGAGAAGTCAGGGTTAAAGAGCTCAAGTGAAAACACATAGTATATTAGTATAGGAGCCTGGACATATCTGATTCAGATGAAAGACAGATGGACATTGTATAGAAATAAAAAGCTCAACACCAAGGAAACAACCCAAATTTTAAAGAAGGTATAAAATAAAATGTTAAATGGAGAGTTCTCTCATTTTTCTTTTCTTTTCCTTCTTTCCTTCTTTCCTTCTTTCCTTCCTTCCTTCCTTCCTTTTTTGTGCAGGGTGGTTTCGAGATAGGGTTTCTCTGTGTAGCTTTTGCTGCCTGTCCTGGAACTCACTCTGTAGACCAGGCTGGTCTTAAACACACAGAGATCCTCCTGCCTCTGCCTTATGAGTGCTGGGATTAAAGGCATGCACCACCACTGCCTGGAAAATGGAGAGTTCTAAAAAAGATGAAAGACAAATTGCTGAGAAACACTTTTTAAAAATGTCTAGCATCATTAGTCATCAGGGAAATGCCAGTAAAAACTACTATGAGATTTCAGCTTAACCCAGTCAGAATGACCAAGATGAATAAAACAAATGACAGCACATGTGAGGGATGCAGGGGGAGGGTGGACATGGGAAATGACAGAGCTGCTATAGAAATCAGTATGGCAGTTCTTGCGGGACCTGGGAATTGAGGTACCACAAAATCTAGCTATATTATTTTATGCAAATACCCCAAGAACTCTTAATTTCTACCAAGAGACACTAATGTTCACTGCTGCTCTATTTGTAATAGCCAGAAATTGGAAACAACCTAGATGTCTATGAACTGGTGAGTGGGTAACGAGAATGTAATATCTGTATGCATATCACTCAGCTGTTTAGAAGAATGAAATCAGGACATTGGTGGATGAATGGATTGAGGTAGAAACGATCATCCTGAGTGAAGAAACCCTGATCCAGAAAGAAAAATGCTGGCCTGGCAGTGGTGACACACACCTTTAATCCCAGCACTCAGAAGGGAAAGGCAAATGGATCTCTCTGAGTTCGAGGCCTGTCTGGTCTACAGAGCAAGTTACAGGACCGCTCGGGTTACACAGAGAAACCCTGTTTCAAATAGCAAAACATAACAAAACAAATACAAAACAACAACAACAACAAAAAGAAAGATAAACACTGAATGTTGTCTCCCCGTGCATTCTGGCTTTGTGATTACCTTGTATCTTCTCTTTAAACCAATATATTCTTAATTACTTGATATTTCTATAGAACATTATAGCTCAGAATAAGAGTGCAGGTATTAGTTGTTCTAACCTTGGTTTAGACTCTATTTCCCAACTCTATCAAGACAAGGATTGTTTCATCAATTACCTATCAGAGCTATCCAGGTACAGACATTTAGCTCGTTACCTCCGACTTTACTTTCTGAGACAAATGTCAATGATTGAGACAAATGTGGTTCACACAACTTGTAAAGGCTCCTGAAATAGAGTGGGGAGAGCTAAAACTATACCTGAGTATCGAACTGTAGAAAACACAATTTTTAAAAATTTTTCTATTCTCCTCTCATACAATACATTTTGATTGAAGCTTTCCCTCCAGCCCTCCCACTTCTCCCTCCACCTCCCATCTCTTCCAAATCCAGTCCCCTCCAACACACCCCCCACACACCTTTTCCTCCCTAGAGAAGAGTAGGCTTCCCATGGACATCTATCAAACTCAGCATAACAAGATACAATAAGACCAGGAACAAGCAAGCCCTCATATCAAGGTTGAGCAGAACAACCCAGTAGGAGGAAAAAGGTCCCAAAAGCAGGCAAAAGAGTCAAAGATACCCCCACTCCCACTGTCAGGGGTCCCCCCAAAACACCAAACCAACAACTAGAACATATATGTATAGGACCTCAAGCAGACCCATGCAGGCTTCCCCATTGTTGCTTGAGACATTTGGTTGATTTTGCTGGCCATGTTTTCCTGGTGTCCTCTGGCTTTCACAACTCCTCCTCCCCCTATTCCTTAAGGTTCCCCAAGCTCCATGAGGAGGAGCCTGATGGAGATCTCCAACCTGGGATCTGTCTCTGCCTAATGTTTGGATCTCTGCATCTCAGCTGCTGGAGGAAGCCTTTCTGATGACAACTGGAGTAGGTACCAATTTATGAGTATAGCAAAACATCATTAGGAGTAATTTCCTTTTGTTGTTGTTGTTTATTTGTTTGTCTTTTTGTTTGGGCTAGTCATGTTTGGTTGTACCCTAAGTCTCTGGGTTACCCAGCATCCAATTCCTGGAGTGTCAGGCATGGGCTTTGTGTGTGTCAGGCATGGGCTTTGTGACATGGGCATGGGTCTCAAATTAGACCAGCCATTGTTTGGCCATTCCCACAAGTTCTGTGCTACCATTACCTCAGCACATCTTGTAAGCAGGACAGATTATAGGTCAAAGGTTTTGTGGCTGGGTTGGTGTCCCAGTGCCATCACTGTAAGCTTTGCTTGGTTAAAAAATGGCTTAATATTCTCCATTACTAAGAATCCTTGCTAGGATTACCCTCATAGATTCCAAGAAATCAAATGTACTAGTTTTCCACATTACCCCCTCCCATACCCTCGAATTCCAGTAGTCTCTCCCTCCATCCCTCTGTTCTACCTATCCCCTCCTATTCCCATCCCGTCCTGTACCCAGCCCAACCACAAAAATTCTTTTTCCTCTTCCTAGGAAGATACATGCATTGCCCCTTGTAGAGCCCTCCTTGTTACCCAATCTTTAAGGGTCTATGGATTGTAGCATGATTATCCTTTACTTAATAGCTAATATCCACTTATAAGTGAGTATATATCATACTTTTTTTCTGTCTGGGTTACTTTACTCAGGATGATTTTTTTCTAGTTTCATTCATTGGCCTGCAAATTTCATGATGTCATTTTTTTTTTTTAGTCACTGAAATATACTCCATTGTGTAATTGTACCACATTTTCTTTATCCATTCTTTTTCTGAGGGACATCTTGGTTGTTTCCAGGTTCTGAATATTATGAATAAAGCAGCAATGATGATAGTTGAGCAAATGTCCTTATGATAGGATGAAACATTCTTTGGGTATATACCCAAGAGTGGTATAGCTTGGTAACTGATTCCCAATTTTCTGAGAAACCACCATCTTAATTCCATAGTGACTGTACAAGTTTGCACTCCCACCAGCAATGGAGGAGTGTTCCCCATGATGTACATCCTCATGAGCATGAGCTGTCACTTGCATTTTTAATCTTAGCCATTCTGATGGGTGGAAGATGGATTCTCAATATAGTTTTGATTTACATTTCCCTGATATCTAAAAGTGTTAATTATCTCCTTAAGACAAATCTTTTGGTTTTTCAAGGTATTTTTTTTCTTGTTTGTTTGTTTCTCTGTAGCACTGACTGTCCAGGAACTCACTTGGCAGATTAGGCTGACTTGAACCATGGAGATCCACCTGCTTCTGTCTCCCGAGTGCTGGGATTAAAGGTGTGTGCCCAAAACACAAATCTTAACCTAAGATTTTTTTTCTGGCACAGACCAGCATTCATGCCACGGAGAGACTTAACATGACCAAGAGTTGAAGCATCTTGAAGATCATGAGAAATTCACATGTTAGTATGAGTATTTTGTGTGCCTTTATGAAAAGATAACTTGGCTAATTCTCACAGATAACTTTGCATTCTCAAGTATAGTTACAATGATCCTGATACAGGCTGGGGAGATATAAACATGTACACTTCAATCAAACTATAGATCCTGGGAGAGGCGAAAGTAATGAGATAAGGACACTGAGTGACTGAACATCAAACACCCTCTTTGCACACAGGAAGCAGTGCTACAGAACTAGATTCTGGCTGTGGGCCAAAGAGCAGCCCAGTGACTCAACTCCAGACCAGCTAAACTGTGTGCTGGAGCTAGTCAGGGTCACTCAGCATTCCAACGGAACCTGAATCACCCAGGCTCAGTTACATGCTCAACAATGCAGAGAGAAATCTATATCCTCAAGGGAATTCTTATTCCAAAGTTGGCTTTTCAGATCAAGATCCTAGATAGAGGCCATGTGATGTACACAGGGACCAGGATGGACACAGCTACATTTAAGCCCCTGTCCAAAAGACAGACAATGGAAATTTCTTGTATAGACTTTGTAGCATCTGTGAGATGCAGGCCTATGGTCATGATTTGGAGGGAAATAATCCATCCAGATTACTTTCATTAAAATATTTTAGAAAGGTAGAGATGGCCTTGGTCTCTCCTATGCCCAGAGCAGAAATACAGGATTGATATTCAGATTAAAAGGAGGGAGACTGGACAAGCTGCAGGGATGTGTCTAGGGGCTGAGTACATCATGGGTGGACGTGCCAAAGCAGCACAGACCACGGAGACAAAGCAGAAATGAAATCTGAGGGCCTAAGGCTGAGTCTCTGGAAATCCGGAGCAGACAGACTGAGAAGGAACCTTCCCAACCAACTCACTGCCTTGGGATGCAGACTCAAAGGGACATGAGACCTTCACTCTTAAACTGGGTGTGGTTCTGTTTAAAGGCCTTAAAGGCTTGTCTAGAAAGAGACCACCTGGAGACCAGCCCCTCTCCTGCCACTGTCTCTGGACCTTACTGGGGCCACAGATGAAGAAGAAAGAGACCACCACCTAGAGACTAGCCCCTCTCCTGCCACTGTCTCTGAAGCACAACTACTACACTGCAGGTTAAGCTGGGCCGGCAATCACTGTATCTGTTGCTCTTACTGTCCCTCCTCACCCCACACACTGCAGGGGGAAAACATAAATTC